CCCTCTCTCTCTGTATCTATATATTATCTTCCCTTTGATCTCTGAACTGTCCAGACATTGAGCACTGACATTAAAACTTTACCACCTCAAAGTTCTTTCTCTCTCTCTCTCTCTCTCTATCTCTCTCTCTCTCTCTCTCTCTCTCTCTCTCTCACCCCTCTCTCTCTCTCTGTATCTATATATCTCCCTATCTCCCCTGTGATCTCTGAACTGTCCAGACATTGAGCACAGACATTAAAACTTTACCACCTCCCATATCTCCAGACAAACCCGCCAGTGCTGTGTCCCGGCTATAAAGGTGAATAATTGACACATCCCGCCATCTCACACCGGCCCTGACAGATCTGATGGACTTTGTCTCTGAACATTTTACCCCCGGCTCATGTCTTATCTCTCTCCGGCCTTCCAGCACCATCTTCTTTGTGTCTAATTTATCTTAAAATCTTTAATGTAGGTGTTTTTACATCCCCATTGATACAATTTAATGAAGATGATGATGATCATCATCATCATCATTGTAAACAGCAAGGAATAAAAAAGGGTTGAGAATGTAGAATTTTCAAATTTTATATAGGTTCAACGTTTCACCCCATACAGGGCTTCATCAGGGACATACAAAAATCATCATCATATCATCATCATCAATGCCTTCCACCCCTGGCAGGGTATAGGCCACATTCAAGCTCCTTCCATTTATCTCTGTCCAGGGCCATCCTTCCAAGTTCGTTCCAAGTGAGCTTTATCTCTCTCATTCTCATTTCTACACATCTCCTCCATGTTTCCCGTGGCCTACCCCTGCCTCGTGCCCCCTGTGGGTTCAATTTCAGTGACTGTCTTGTGATGTTTCCGTTGGGCTTTCTGAAGGATGGGCCCTATCCATCGCCACTTTCTCATCGATACAATTTAGATTATTAACATTTAGGAGGCGGGCTAATGACCAAGTCTGTGAGGGCCAACCAGTTCTGAGAGGGATACAACATTCCAGAAGATATATCGAGATACTCGACACAAATTTCCCCATTCGCGACTCGACCTCGAGCACCCTGAGTAGGATAGTAAAGCATCTAACCGCTTCAACACAGACACCGGTTCTTCGTCTCTCGTAGGATGAGTCACAGAAGAAAGATACAGAAGGTCATTTTTACCCTTATCCATCAACATGCTTCCATCTTAATTATCTTGTTACTAGTAATCATGTGACCTTAGAGCATGCACCAGAATCACATTAAGTTACATTCAGAATACTGAAGATATATTTACATGTAGATTGATAAGCGCACAGAGCTTGTTGTTTGAGAGGGAATTTGCGCTATACAAATGTAATTTATTATTTACTGATTTCTTTTTTTAAAAAGGTAGTATCTTCAACTGTTTCACAAGGATGATCTGTTCTCTCTGAGTGTCTACCATTCACTCAGGTTCTGTGCTTGCAGAAGGGCAGTAAAATGTGACATGACGTTTTTGGGTATATGGAGTTATTGGCATTATCTTAAAGCTTGTTCAGTTGTCTTGCTTTCTGTGAAAAAAATGCTCATCTATCTTGAATGGAAGTCACGACATTTGGAATTAAAGGAGGTGGGGTCGCCTGATCTCAAAGGAAGAATTCGCAAGAAAATGGCCGCCAACGTTTGGATATTTCCATAGCTAGTGAAAACTTAAAACGTACATGATTTTGTGCCTTTAATCAACGTTTTTAGTAAAAACCCACCCAGAAATGTGTTCTTCATTTCACAACGTGTGATGTTGAGCCAAAAAAAAAAAATTCGATTTACAAAACTGCCAAACTAGCAGAAAAATGAGTTTCTTTAATTTCGTTATTTTGATTGCACCACACTGCCTCAAAAATGTCTCGTATCTGTATATTTATATTTTA